TCAGATTGAACAGGATCAATGATGGTGGTGGTGCTCAGGAACGACATGAATGGCGTGACCTTCGTAATGCACGTTGGCATTGAATCTGTAAGGAAATGGAAAACAATAATTAAGTATATGACAATCAAAAGGATGATACATTACTTTTTAGGGCTTTTGATATTTACCCAGCCTTCTTGTCAGAGTGGTACTTCACGATCCTGACAGAGCCATCAGGCTGATGCAGACTGTACACGCCCTTCACTACATCACCATCACGAGCCTCATGCTGGGACTTCTTGTCACCGGTGTGAGGGTCCACGACCTTGTAAGCGAACTCGTATTTGGGATGAGCCTATAACAAATCAAGAATATCGTTACAGATTTCATTTAGACAATAATAGAATAGAATTTTAACGACTTCAGTAAAATATTCCTACATAGTACTCGACGTGTTTCTCAGTGGCCTTTCCATGGTACTGCTTGATGCTCTGTGAGGAGGAGGCGTGTCCATGGTGTTCCTCATGATGGTGCTCTCCGTGATGTTGTTCCTCGTGGTGGGACTGTTCGTGATGATGGTCATCATGTTGGTACTGCTCGTAGTGGTGGTCATCATGGTGGTACTGCTCATGATGATGACCATCATAATGGTGTTCGTCATGATTTTGTTCCTCGTGGTGGTGGTTATCTTGTTGTTTTTCCTGGTGGTGACCTTCATGGTGTTCCTCGTGGTGTACGGGGTGCTTGATCTCCTGAGAATGGTGCAGTACGATGCTCTGTGATGAGATGGCGTGGCCGTGACCATGGTGTTGGTTGTGACCGTGACCATCTTGTGGCCGCGCGGCGACCATGGCAAATACAGCGGCGAGGAGGAAGATCTGTAAAAAAATACAGTGAATGAAAATATTATTTTTATTTGGACCTTTTTGTTTATTATTATTCTACTATATGGTTTTATATTAATATTCAGTGTGATATCTGTGATATTATGATTTAAATTTTATTAATACACCACTGTACCTTGTACATTTTGCAGGTTTGTATGTTTACTTTTGAAGTACTAAGCTGTAACTGATAATTTCTCAGTGCATAATTTTTCTTTTTATATGAGCAATGGAACATGTTAAAGGGACTGGCTGAACCAGTTTGCTACATAATAGTGCCATTTTTTGGTAAAATGTGTTGACCTTAAGAGAGAATGTATTATTACCTCGTTACCTAAAATAAACGTGTATTCAAAAGTGGTGAGTAGAACATATTTATTACAAAAGTATAACAATGAAGTCTGTAGTTAACTTACGTAAAAATTATATCTTGTATTTTATTTTAACATAACAATTAATATTATTCAACTAAAACATTCTTTAAAAAGTCTCGATCAGCTTGTTTATCTCTAAAAAGTAATAAAATCTAGACAAAGTTTTGCCAAGTCTAAGGTTCCTTACTGCGATTTTTTTATTATTATAGTTCATTTTGTGTGACTTGGCCGTTGAACCGCTATCTATTGAAGATGGGAAACTGCTAGTAGGAAAAAGTTCATTGAATAAATAGCGGGTCTGGCGACAGATTGGTGCAATGGTGTTGCAATCTTGCACCTGGTTTTGCACTCTTGTGCACCCTTCAACGGCACAGTCACACAACATTAACTATAATATTGATTTTGATTTTCTTATTTTACACATTTTTACAGTTGACAATTTCTTCTTGTAAACTTTTGAGTATATGAATGAAAGTCACATTAATCTTATCTAGAGTTTTCCTTTGATTTTATTTATATGCGTATTAAAAGCAGAAAGGGAGGCCTTCGCCCAGCAATGGCGCTAAAGGTTAGATTAAATTTGAAGACGTTTCCCACTACGCTGAATTTTTGCAATGACAGTCGATTTTTATGTACCAATAGTAAAAGGCGGCATTACCATATCTCTAATACATCTAAGACTTGCTGGTGGTCCTTCATCAGATTCTTCAGACCTTCGATTTTTTGACATCAAATGAAGCGGCCCACCAGGCTGAATCTTTTTTTTTTTTTCGAAAAGGCAGTACATGTCAGTCTCTTATAGTTTGGTTGGGCTCTTGTTACTAACCAGGGTTCTAACCAGGATCACCAGGGTCTATGTCTATGCGCTACAAAATGTAGCGCATAGTGACGTCACACGATATTTCAGATGAATATAATTATTGTCGAAAGTATTTAATTTCGTGAGAAAAGAAAAAATACGTTTCTAATGTTTAACGGACATTTAAATAAAATTTAAGCAACTACCCTATAAAATAATAGACCCTGGAAAATTAAATGCAGTTTCTGTACTGGAACAGCAATTTAACTCGTCGAGTACCGGTTTTATAGACACAATTAAAGAACAATAGGTCGCGGTCACCGGTGACCGCTTGGTGTTTGACAGTTTAATAACAACTTTGTAAGTAATACTTATTTCTCTGTCAATTTCACACAGAACAGAAAGTAAGCATATGAGTAATTTTTCAGGCGCTTCTATGATTTCTTTGCTTTGACGATACATAAATAATACGTGAAATAACTCCGGGTAAAACAAAATGACAATTAATTCTCAATAATGATAGGTTTATAAATCATCAGTCCGTCACAGTCTACTGCTGGATTAAGAGTCTCCTCTTTATACTGAGGGTTTGTCATAATCTCCTTGGTGCGCAAGCGTGATTTGGATTGGAAGTCACATTGTAAAACATTTAGGTTTACCAATGACAGCTGCCGTGTGGTCTGTGTTGCTTTTCATAAAGTTGCTCCCTCACCGGGAGCATTCGCGTGTAATATCGTGACAGATCTGAGCATTACATCAGTGAAGGAGAAGAACCGAGCATTACAATGCATACAATGTGTAATGCATACAACTTGTAACATCAATGCGCTCCACTTCCCTCAGCCCCCCGCCCGGCCGCTTCGTCTGACATCTTGCTATGAAATGCTCAAAGTTGAATTATATGTTACATTACACGAAAATGCTCGTTAGTTAGAGAGGTTTTATAGTAATGTAACGCTCAAAGTCGAATCTATAATGTTACACGTGAAACACCTTGGACCACAAATGGAGCACCTTTAAGTTGCAATGGAATCTGTGCCGTATTTCAATCGAATAAAACGGAAAAATTTACATATACACAAATTAAAGTAACAAAAAATATCTTACATCTTGAAACATACTAAAATTACCATAATCCCTTAGTCGGGACAATACCACGAGAGAGAAGTGGTGATAATTGTATATTAAATAAATCATGCTTCACTAATCTATTTGTGAAACGTGTTCAAAATTCCATGAAACCATAAAAGTTTATTTGCATAAAAGAAAAAAAAAACTGTTACAAATTATTATTATTTTATAATATGTTTTCTAATGATAGTTTCGAAATACTTGCAACAAGACCTTTATGTGCTTATTCTTTAAAACCTTAATAGGTTACAATAACTAGCTGACCCGGAACTTCGTCCCACCTAACAGTCAATTAATGTCGTGTAACCGTTTACTTGAACTAATTTAGCCTTTGATAGATATATAAAAGTATTTCATTATTATGAACAATACATACAGAAAGAGAATATAAAAGAAAAATTAAGTACTTCAAACACGTGTCAGATTTTTTTTATTAAATTAAAGTAAAAAGTGTAGCATGTGATGCACTCGGATTAACTCTATTTATTCAAGCACCTTGTGGTAAACGATATTCTTTGTTTTTTGTCAGGCGCAAGAACAAATAAAATGGGTCGTTTACCGACACGTGAACATGCCACGTACAATTGACCATGAGAAAAACATGCATTTTCTAAGGCTACAAATAATAATCAATTATTGGCCCTGTAACTTGTTAGTCGTCATGGCGAAGGCAAAACGAATCGGGAATTGAATTCGTTTGAATTGAAAGGGCATATCCCTTGGGATCATCGGAATTCTTCGCATAAGAACTTCCTCATCTTTCAAAACAAACAAATTTACTCTTTGCAAACAAATATAAAGAGTACCTGAACTTTCTAGACTTAGACAATAGTTTAGATCATAGACTAATACTTTAGGTAGTGCACTTTTTAAACTTTGTAATAAAAAACACATAAACAAACTTTTACGTTATCTATAAACTATAAAATAAATCTTAGAAATTGTTTTCAGAAATATAATAGTTTATAACACATACATAACACATCACGCCTTTTTATCCCCGAAGGGGTAGGCAGAGGTGCACATTATACCACTGTACAATGTAACACCCACTTTTCACTATTTATTTTATGAGTCCCATGTAATAGGGGGTGAGCCTATTGCCATATACCGGGCACAATTCCAGACTCCGTGCTACTACTGAGAATATTTAAAAACCCAGTAATACTTTGCCCGACCCGGGAATCGAACCCGAGACCCCTTGCCCGGCAGTCGCACTTACGACCACTCGGCCAACGAGGCAGTAGTTTATAACATAGACTACTAATAAATATATGAACACACGCGTAAATGTTAATCGTATTTCTGAACGCATGTCAACGATTACTTATAGATTTGACAGGATGGACCACAAATGTTTGAGAGGTACGAAACAACAAATATTTGATAGGTACGAAACAAAGTAACATTAAGTGAAAATTATTCATCTTTTATAATTATAATGTCGTCGAGCTTTCATTATTTTTAAAATGTATTCTGCTATTAAGGACGGGGACAAATCCAATGAACCAACAATCATGAAAATTGGTCTAGCCGATCTCGAATTATAAGTGTTGTAACAAACTCGTCTTTGTTTTATATATTATACATAGATGATACAAGTCGCTCCAACAAGTATGTATTAACATTGATTAGGGGTAGTGGCCATAGTATTTCCATAGTTACCATGTCTATTAGTCCATAGATGGTCCATAGCCATCCACACCCATAACCATATATCATCACGAGGTAGAAAACCTCGTTGCATAATAGTCCTGTGTCAATTTTGAATTGTCCTTTAATACACTTCCATAGTGCATCCAGGGAGGGAAAATAAAAATGAAAAATAGTACGTATAAGGTATTATTGTAATTTTAAATGAATAAATTATTTACAAATCAACACATGCCTTGTTCACTAGATAACAATCTTTTAAACAGTTGAGCAATAACAGGATCAATGATAGTGGTGGTGTTCAGGAACGACATGAATGGCGTGACCTTCGTAATGCACGTTGGCATTGAATCTGTAAAGAAATGGAATACAATAATTATATGAAAATCAAACAGTATGTTAAATTACTTTTTAGGACTTTGGTATTTACCCAGCCTTCTTGTCAGAGTGGTACTTCACGATCCTGACAGAGCCATCAGGCTGATGCAGACTGTACACGCCCTTCACTACATCACCATCACGAGCCTCATGCTGGGACTTCTTGTCACCGGTGTGGGGGTCCACGACCTTGTACGCGAATTCGTATTTGGGATGAGCCTATAACAAATCAAGAATATCGTTACAGATTCCATTTAGACAATAATAGATTAGAATTTTAATGACTTCAGTAAAATATCCCTACATAGTACTCGACGTGTTTCTCAGTGGCCTTTCCATGGTACTGCTTGATGCTCTGGGAGGAGGAGGCGTGTCCATGGTGTTCCTCGTGATGGTGCTCTCCATGATGTTGTTCTTCGTGGTGGGACTGTTCGTGGTGATGATCATCATGGTGGTACTGCTCGTAGTGGTGGTCGTCATGGTGGTCGTCATGGTGGTACTGTTCATGATGATGTCCATCATAATGGTGTTCGTCATGATTTTGTTCCTCGTGATGGTGTTTATCTTGTTGTTGTTCTTCCTGGTGGTGACCCTCATGGTGGTATTGTTCTTCATGGTGTTCCTCGTGGTGTACGGGGTGCTTGATCTCCTGAGAGTGGTGCAGTACGATGCTCTGCGAGGAGATGGCGTGGCCGTGACCGTGGTGTTGGTCGTGACCGTGACCATCTTGTGGCCGCGCGGCGACCATGGCAATTACAGCGGCAAGAAGGAAGATCTGTAACATTTAAAAATACACATTTAGGTAATACATTACAACAAACAATAATTGGTCAAATTTTTTATTTGTGTTATAATTAAGAAAATGAAGTCAATTATCGTAAATTTTATTGTTGCCAGAAAACCGTTAATTTACTTTTTGATTAAAAACAATACCTTGTACATTTTGATGGTTTGTATGTTTACTTTCGATGTACAAACTGTGACTGATAATTTCTCAGTGCATAATTTTTCTTTTTATATGAGCAATGGAACATGTTAAAGGGACTGGCTGAACCAGTTTACTATATAATAATGCCATTTTTTTGGTAAAATGTGTAGACCTTGAGCGAGAACGTAAAATGATTTTTATTTTAATCTAGTTGCCGACATGTAATAAATGGGTACTTAAAGAAAGTGGTTTATGCAGCAAAATACACTGCCACGTATTTAAATCAATTATATTGTTCTCTCCAAGTCTATTTTGAAAAGCTGCAAAGACTTTACTCACCTACACAGTTAACCGCTCACTTACATCTTTCCTTGTTTCCTTGTTTGGTTATGTTTTATGAAGTATGCAGATTTTTTTAATTACAGTTATTAGAGATATTTTATTTATATCGCAAAAAACTTCCCTAGAGCTTGCTACTACTAGAGCTGTGTGACTCTATTAATTTAATGCTTGGTGTAACAAAGTCAAAGTATGGATACATATTATGTATAATTTCTCGGCGTCTTTCTCATACCTTTAGATAACTTTGGGAGGATGGCTCATATATTAGCAGGCAGATTATGTAAGCCAAGTAATACATAAAAATAAGTTTTATATTAAACGATTTTAACGAGCTCTGTTCTACTAATCAAGTCCTATTGGTTGATATTGATATGAGGGTAGTTATGGGAAATAAAGGATTAAAATAATGTATTGTCTCGTTGGCCGAGTGGTCACAAGTAAGACTGCCTGGTAAGGGGTCTCGGGTTCGATTCGGGGTAGGGAAAAGTACTATTGGGTTTTTAAAAAAAATCTTAGTTGCATCACGAATAGGAATTTAGAATTGTGCCCGGTATATGGCAATAGGCTCATAACATAAATAATGAAAAATAGCTGTTATATTGTAGGCCGTAATTAGCACCTCTGCCTACCGCTTCGAGGATAAAAGGCGTAATGTTATATCATTTTATAAAAATACATAGTCATCAAGATTAAGAGTGTTGATCAAAAATCAGGAAGGGCGTGAAATTTCTATTACTAAATGTAATCCAAAGAAACAATCTTACTAAGAAACACACAATCGGATCAAACTACATAAATAAAACCATTTAAAAAACTGAATACTTTAACCCTTCTCCGAGAGGAGTAGCTACTGGGAATATTATTTATATTTATGTTATCTCTGTAGTGAGAGTATCCAATTGAATATATTTTAATTAGTTAGATGTATCCAGTAAATAAATATTATCCACAGCAACAAAAAAAACTGACAATGTAATCATAAGTTTTTGTCTTTTATGGCTTAAATTAAAGTGATTTAACTGACGAGTTTCGGTATGTTGTTCGCCTTTTAAAAGTTTAAGATCTGGGTTAGTTTATTGCATGCTGGATTGGACAAGACATATCTACCTACAGTAAATGAATAATTATAGTGTTGCATTGAACATTGAAAATTAATGCATATTTTTTCGCTAAAAATAAGACTCCTTAAGCTAAGAATAAAAACGATGAATCAATTTTTAAGAAACCTTGATATCATTTAATTGACTGTAAAAATAACGGTTCAATTAATACGGAATCCGTGACCTACACGATGCATAAAACCAGCGAATCACTACATAGTGTAAAACTAAGTCGCTATCTGCCATATATCTGTTCCTATGTATGCTTAGATCTTTAAAACTACGCAACGGATTTTGATGAGGTTTTTTTGATAGATAGGTAGAGTAATTTTTAAGGAGGGTTCATAATTATGTATAATACATGAATATTGAACCCGTGCGAAGCCGGGGCGGGTCGCTAGTGATATAATAATAATAGATTTTAGTTATCAAAAAATTGAAACTGGGTTTATTTTTTGCGGTATATAGTTTAATAATTAAAACTGGATAGTTAATTAATTTGTTACTCATAATATGCACCTATATATGTAAGTATGTTTTCCGCGATTATCCCATGATTGGCTAAACCTATTTTGATGCGGTTTTTAGACAAGTGTTGCTTGTTAATTATTTTGTATCTATTTTATTACATAAGGAATTGAGAGTCCATAAATATAAATATATTTACTTAAATTTAAATTTTATGTGTTAATATTTTTATAACATTGTTTTCATTTAATTCAAGTTTGGGAAATAACTTGAACTTTGTATAATACAACTCTTTGTATAGGCGTTTTAGGTAAATAAAATTGACATATTTATAGAATTGAAACGTGTAATATAAAAAATATAAACTCAGCAACAATTAAACATTAGATCACAGTTTGGTATGAGAAAAGTAAAGGTAGTAATATATCACAGTTGAGGCTCAAATCAGTAGTGGGCGTGGTGGTGGGGCACGATGTGGTGGGTGCTGTGCTTCACATCAGCGTGGAAACTAGGGGGAAAAAGGAAAATAAAATTAGAAATTTAAAATTATTACAATTTCCTAAATGATCGGCAATTCATGATGCTTTTGACGTTAAGGTAAGGACTTCCATCAGACTAAACAGTAACTGTTGTTGCTATAGTAACTAACGATACGACAGTGAAGCTAATTTTTTTAAAGTTAAAGTAGATAGACATAAATATGGCAAAAGAGGGTTCTGACGTTTTTAACTACATATTTATAGATAAAACTTTTTCTTACCCAGAGTGCTTGTCACCGTGGTATTCAACGTGTCTGACAGAGCCATCAGGCTGGTGCAGAGCGTAGTAACCCTTGACGACGTCACCGTCGCGGTGCTCATGCTGGGACTTGATGTCTCCGGTATGAGGGTCCTCTACCTTGTATCCGAACTCGTATTTGGGGTACGCCTGAAATATTAGATAGATTATTTTATTGAAAGGGAAGAAGTCGTACCAATTTTCAAATAGCTGCACCACATTTTCGTATCAATTAGTATTCCCTAATTGTAAGGTACTACAAGGTTTACTAGGAATGCTGATTACTTAACAACAAAGACTAGATTTAGGTTTAACTTACATAGTAGTCAACGTGTCCATGACCACCGTCGTGTCCATAACCATGACCGTATCCACCATGACCGCCATCGTGGCCTTGAACATGGACTACTTCTGCAGGACCATCGTGACGGTGGATGTACTGGGAGGAAAAACCATGACCATGGCCGTACACCGCTTCCAGGGAAGCTACGATAGCTACGAGACACAGGACCTGAAAGAAAACAGCAAAAAACGGTATAAATTTTTTTTCTTCTCTTATAGTATCTTCTGAATTATTTCGTTGCAGGAACCAAGAGGTTTGTCCTGTCCCTGGGACCCGCCGGATTTTAATGTTTCGTTATTTTGATGGTTGTATCTACTGTAGATCTTGCCTTACAGGAGTTGCAGCGGTTATGGGCGGTTGTGGCGGGCTTGTCCCATTAAAAAAGGGTATAATGGATGTAATGCTGGATTATATAAGTTTTAGTACCACTATGGAGAAAAAAGGAAAGATATTGAAAGTTCTCTTTCTGGTGGAAGATTTCTAACATGATTATGTACTCTGATATTTAAATTATTCTACTCAATGGTTTGTTATAATTTAGTCAAAACCAAAAAGGTTTTATGAATTCACTGCTGAGGGGATGTTTTGGGAACCCAACAAATAATAAGTAGTTGTTGGTCAATGGTACTAGACAAAACGAATCACTGAACAGTTCCACACAAACACAAGGCACTTCACATATGAACACTAAGGGTTGAAATAACTAAATATTTTACCTTGGAGAACATTTTGGGTAAATAGATTCTATTAGCTGTTGTGCTAATGATAGGAAAATCAATAGTTGACTGATACATAATGAGCAAATTCAACGTCTTTTATATCAATAACAAAGGTAGTCAAGGTGATATAGATTTCTCTCTAAGCTATGGACAAGCAGCAAATTATTCACGAACTTCAGTAAGTATGCGTTTGCAATGAATTTCGTAAAAGCGTTTGTTCGGTATGACTACGTACACCTTGCAGTGTGACATTGCACAGTTTGTTATAAGTGAATTGCGCAAGATGCTCTGTGTATTGACACAAATAATAATTGAACAAAAAGTGGCCTAAGTGATAATCAGTTGCAGTAGTTTGGTTAATGAAAAAACTGATAGAGTATTAATGAAGTCGAATGTTGCTGCAAACGGCGTCATTTTGTACGCGAACGCAACGCGTGCGTGGATAAGTACAGCTTTCATAACACGTGCGAGAATAAATGTTATTTTGTATAGTTAAGGTTTTATTTTTAAGCTCTATTAAACTTATGTATTCATAATATAAGTATGTTGGTACACTTTTTCATATTGAGGATGGTTTCAGTTGATTGAAGACATAAGAAATTATTGTCGAACCTTCTAGTTTAATAGGTATAAGAAAAAAATGTATGAATAATACTTTTTTTTTCATTCACGTGACCACAGGGTCTCGCTCATTTGGAACGCGTACGTGGGGCCGAAGCCAACGGTGCAGAGGCCCTAGAGATAACTTTAATCTAAATGCATTGGGCCAAAAAACCGGCGACTATCCCTGTATGTACTATGAAAGTGCATCCAAGAAGACATAAGCAGTGAAACAAATTCAAATAGGTTTAAACGTAAATTAAAGTCAAATTACCTAGATATGTCGTAAATTCTACTTACATAATATGTATATATTATATAAGTTTCAACGCCTGTATAATATTTATAAGTACATTTAATTGTAATGCCTAATGACTCGACCCTACAGTCAAACTATTGCAACGGTTTTGTGGGGCTTCCATTATAACATACTTACCTGTGTGATTTGAAGATAAATAAATAAAATAAATGATAATAGTAGATAATGCCAAAAAAAATTAGGGCTATGGGTGGGTTGCTGTGGACTGGTAAATTGGAAACTATGGAAGACTATGCCACTTGTCGGCTAAAAATGGCAGGCGGAGAATTCCAACCTAGATATAGCAATAGAGGAAAACCATAACAAACAAAGGACATGTGAGTGGCTGAAGGGCTAAGAAACTACCAGGCTGTCTATGAATATTAATATTAATAAATTATTATTTCTCCCAAATCCTCATTCCCGTTTACTTGTACATTGACATATACAATTACGTTTCTTATTAAATAACTTATTATATAAGTTTTGTCAAGTATCAGATTTTCAATGTCGCTTCTATTCATTCATTTGTAAGCATTAACAATAGCTTTTTATTACATTTCAAATAATTCAATGAACCAATAAATAATTGATTTTACATTATTGAACAATTTTATGTAGGTACATATTTGACTAACTCATTGGTCAAGTGGTTAAAAATGGTTAAAAGTGGGTTTGATTCCCAGTATGACAAAGTATTACTCGGATTTTCGCGGGTTTTGGGTATTTTTCAGTAACTTCATATGACTTCCACAGTCGTACTCGGCACAATTTTTATAATGCGTAAGATTTTACTAAGCATCTCAACTTGCCTTATATATAGTTACTTTCTTAAATAATAATTCGTCATACGATATTACTCTGTTGGAATTACAAAAAGCTCTTAAAATATTAAGATAATAAAATTAAGGTTCAGACTGCTGTTACTGTAATGAAGGTTACATTTATCATGATTACTTTCATATTTACTTTCGATGACAGATTGGGTACTTTAAGTGCTGAAGAAATGAACGCTTGCGTAAAGATTCACGAACTCAGATTACTCGTGTGTGAACCAGATTTTCAGTGCGTACCTTTATTTCGCCGTAACCGGTTTCCTGATTATTTTTGAGTATAAAACCAAAAGTTTTTTTGGGATCCAACATCATACTTGTACCAGCTTTTGAAGGAACAGCAGCAAGATGTTCGCTAAGGTATTTTTATAACATAATCCTCGAAGAAATTATTGCATGTAGGCTTTATCTACTATTATAGCTAAATTATACCTACAAAAATACTTATTACTAAGTAATAGTTATGATAATTTTTAATATGATAAGAAAGCTTAAAGGATTCGTGACAGTAGTAAAAACATTTCTATAGCATATTTTCCAGTCAAAAAAACTTAGTATCCAAACATCAGAATCATGAAACCGCAATAAATAACTCTAATGGGAATATTATACAGTAGGAAAATCTAGAACTCATTCACGTCTAGACTACTTCCTAGTCTAAATACTAATGTGGCGAAGCGCCTTTAGTTTTGTCTGTTGACGAAAATAACGGTAATTGAATTTCTGAATTCATTCATTGCCATAGTAGAGCTGGTTTTACGCTGGACTAATTTATGTTATGATAAATTTAATTTCAAAAGTAACATTAATAATTTATGTCTTTAATGTAATGAAACATTTTATTTCAGATAATCGCAGCAATGATTCTGCTGGCGGCAGGATACTGCCAAGACCACCACCATCACTCCATCTCCTTAAAAACAGTCATCAAGCATGAAACACCAAAGAAAGTAGAACATCATACTGAATATAAGGCTCCAGTACAAACCCATGTAGTTCAAGCAGTTCATGCTGTTCCCCAATACCATGGACATGTGCAAGCTCAAGGCCAGATCCAGCAACAAGCTCCTAAGCATTACTTCGTCCCTGCCAAAGAACCTGCTCCAGTTCATGAGGTCATTGCGGTTGAAGCTCCAGTCCACTACGTTCCCATTGTTCCTGTACATCATGTAGTCCAACAGGCTCCTCATGTTGAAGTTTCTCATAAGAAGGAAACACAGCACAAGGTAGCACACCACAAAGAATCCCACCACGATCATCACAACTACCACGTTGATTACTATGTGAGTTGCAACCATATTTTTTTTATGGGTTAGGCAGGTAAACGGGCAGACGGATCACCTGATGGTAAGCAACCGGCGGCGCCCATGGATACCCGAAACACCAGAGGCGTGACAAGTGCGTTACCGGACTTTTGGGAATTAGGAATTTGGGGGTTGTAGGGGATTTGGGGATTGGGGAGACTGGGGAAGGAGGTAATTGGGCCTCCGGTAACCTCACTCACAGGACGAAACACAACGCAAGCGTTGATACACGTCTGTTTTCTGTAAGGCCGTGGTCACTCCGGTCAGGCCGGTCTATTCGTGCCGAAGCATGGCTCTCCCACACTTATTTACAAGTTTTATTTCTGTTATTAGTTAAGATCTAAGGCTTATTAAAATTTACAATAAACTATTGACACAATTTGCACGTCGAATATCGGATTCCTCTGTATCCAGACTTATAGATCTGTTACATCCTAATTTTCGCTCTGTTTCAACATAAATTTAATTACTAAAGAAAATGACAGGATGTTCACATATATGTACAAACATGTCATAAGCTGATGTGTAATTCCAGGCTCATCCCAAATACGAGTATGAATACAAAGTAGAAGACCCTCACACCGGTGACAAGAAGTACCAACACGAGTACCGTGATGGTGATGTCGTGAAGGGCGTGTACAGTCTGCATGAAGCTGATGGCTCCATCAGAACTGTCAAGTATACTTCTGACAAGAAGACTGGGTAAGTTTCATACACCGTTTCATTTTACTTTCGTAAATTATATAGTAAACATGTTAAGGCTGATTTCATGGTTTTGACTTACCATAAAACATTATTTAAATTAAGGATTATGACTATAGTTTTCATAGTCATTTGATAACCATTAATTGCCTGATAAAAAGAAAATAACCATGTAGTTAGCGCGGTGGCTGGGCAACCAACCGATTGCCTTGAAACGTGTAGCGGGTTTGATTACCGCACGGAACGACGCTTTATGTGTTCCAGGTCGTCTGGTGTGTGTATGTGAACTTGTTAGTTTGTAAACGCACCCACGACACAGGAAAATAACGTAATGAGGGGCAACGTTTTTTAGTTCATTTTTTTTTGTCATATCAACGATAGAACGAACGGTCTATTTTAACACCGATATAATTTAATTTTTTAGATTCAACGCTGAAGTTCTACACAAAGGCCACTTCAAACACGACCACCACTATCATCATTAATTAGTTACCGATTTTAAATAATAATATTTAATCATTAAGCCATATAAGTTTGTTAAAAATAAATATTTAAAGTTTCCTATATCGAGTTTTTTTTATTTCCATCTCAACACATGACATGATTAAGTAACGACATCATAAAAGCTAGAAATAGGTAAAAATCTGTATGCATCAGTGACATAGATTTTCGATAAGTAGAAGAAATCCGTATTAACTTACATCATGGAAAGTTAGCCGCATCGCTTGTTACATATATCCACATACGAAAGCATGTAAACTAAGCAATAAGGAAGGTATTAAATACCGAAGTACCTACAATGAATGTCGATGTCATATTGATTAGAAACTTTAAATCGAATACTGTACTTATGTACTTACCTAAAATATTTTGTTAGTAACTTTTAATAGTATGTTTTTTACTCCTTTATTTACTTTTTCGTCAGTTTGAATTGTATGTACCTAAATAGATGTTAGTTATTTAGACATTATAAATTACAAGAGGTAGCAATATCCCTTTGAGACTTTTGGAGTTGTGATCATCCTTAATGACTATAATTATATGACTAGATTAAATCCCTCTTCTCAACAGGGAGAGTAGGAAAAATATTCTATAGAGCTATCGCTCTGGTATTTCTCGAGATATTATTATGAATGAATGGCCTCTCATCTACGAACTCATTTCTCAACATGTGCGTAACCTGATCAAGTCTTCACTAGTGCAATAAAACTAGTATTAATTACCCTGTATGTAATAGTAATAATTAAAACATTAGAATAAAAAGAAATCAACGATCCGCATGACGGACATTGCGAAATAGTGGTACTTAAATGTGGTTCATGGTTACACAATGAAGACTTCTATGCGTAAGTGGTTAGTTCACCTGATTTTACTAAGAAAAAAGTATGGCAATGACACCGTTGAGGTCACTTTCCATTGTCATGAGGGACGAGCTCGATATAAAAAGCTATAGAGCTGTTATTATAAAAACAGTTATTCAAACATGATTGACTGGTCACCGTGCCAGCCTATTTGTTGCGATTGATTAGACTTCGGTATTGAATTCTTATTTAATTGAAAATTTTAGTTATTCTGCTACTGCCTCGTTGGCCGAGTGGTCGCAAGTGCGACTGCCGGGCAAGGGGTCTCGGGTTCGATTCCCGGGTCGGGCAAAGTATTACTGGGTTTTTAAAAATTCTCAGTAGTAGCACGGAGTCTGGAACTGTGCCCGGTATATGGCAATAGGCTCACCCCCTATTACATGGGACTCATAACATAAATAGTGAAAAGTGGGTGTTACATTGTACAGTGGTATAATGTGCGCCTCTGCCTATCCCTTCGAGGATAAAAGGCGTGATGTTATGTTATTTTAGTTATTCTCTTTCAGTGTTGGTGCTGTGGCTTGGTGACTAACTGGTTTGGTAAAGAGTCTCACGAGTAAAGGGTAGTTATTGGTACATGTTACGTATGTCCATATGGTATATTTAAAAAGTCGTTTTAAATAAAAAATCTACAATAATTAAGGCGTATTTCGATAGAGAAACCTAAGTACGTTATTTAAACTGTCAAACACCAAGCGGTCACCGGTGACCGCAACCTATTGTTCTTTAATTGTGTCTATAAATACGGTACTCGACGAGTTAATACTGTTGACTGGTTATGAAACTCGGCAAAGAAAAAAAAAACAATTGACTCATAATCCCATAAGGGTTTCTCCACTATGGACAGTCGGAATTGCGGTATAGCCAACTTATTTTTACCTCTCGTAGATATTATAATTATCACGAACGCTTCTTTTTTCAAATACCTAATTGTAATATTTTTCTTACGTACATAATATTTTCGTATATGAATTGAGAGGCACTGTGAGGATATTTATCGTTTCAAATAGTTTTCTCAGAGATTCGCAACGGGGTAAGTTATACATTGCTCGACTATAAGTAGCTCGCTTTTGCAAAATAAAAATCGATTCTTGCAAATTAAAAACAAAATGCTGTAAAAACCAAAAAAATTAAATTATAAGCCAAGTTTCCTCAAGCAGTTTTCCTTCACCGTGATGTCTAAATAATCTTACAAAGTACATATAACTAGGAAAAAGTCACATTGGTACTTGCCGTTGGTAGATTTCGAACCCGCACCCCTTATACATGAGAAGTGGGCGGGCGTCTTTATCTCCGAACTAACTTGACACTAATGTAATCATCATGCACCTGTAATTAATGATACTATTATTCCAGGAAGAGAAGGAGTAGGTATAGATAAACACCAATGAACAAGCACATTATTATATTCATTATTCTGTAAGTCCCATGTAGCGTACACCGGGTGGAATTCCATATATGCCATTGTGATACAAATACAATTCAGCCAAGCATGCAGCCAAGATCTAAAGTTGCCTCTGTCTCTATATGGTTCGAAATGAAAGGTTTTTTTTTCTATATAGCCATTGGACTTAGATAACTGTAAGTTTGCCTAGGTACCTACATCCAACCGGATACCAAAACGTTTAGTTTGCGAATGGTTTCTAGGGCATGACCGGTCTGATCTAGTTTACACTAACATTTTTATCTGTCTATCAATTCGTTGTATTTGTCATATTTGCTCAGATCAGCCTCCCCATACAAATGGTAATTGAATCAATGAATAGGAAAATAAATATAAGGGCTTAATTTTTAATTTGTTGAACGTCAGTGTGAATCGTTAATCAAACATTGACTTTTCTATGCACTCGTTTAACTAGCGTTCGGGAAACTCATGATTGTTTTGGGGTTACATTTAAATCATAATAAACACATATCATTTTATTTTTGAGTAATTATTCCCTAGCACGTAGGTATTATTAACGTATAAAACTCGTTTTACACTTTACTTAAATCAAAGAAAGGTATTAATTAAACCAAATTATTAATTATTTTTACTGTTTTTTAAACGAAATGCCCGTAAAACAATATTTTTAAATCTGTAATTATCAAATATACCTACTAACGTTTTTAACTTAAATTGTATTCTATGCAAAGGTTAACATCAAACATTAGATGGGTATGCCATGACAGTGATTCATAAAATTAAAACAATAATACACGTGAAACCAGTTTGTTAGATCACTTTTTCACACACATGTGATAAATTAACAAACTGCAAGTTCAATTTCATGGCCAAACGTGTAATTGAATATTCATTTTAAACGCCCAGATTGTACAAAACAGGTTGCAATATATGCCATAATCAGTAAATTGATGAGAATTAATGAGTAAATTTTATAAATGCAGCTGAAAAAACTTGTTTCTGGGTTTCTTTTAAAATAATGGACGTTAATGAAGTTAATTTAACCAAAGCCATACGTAGCTACAATCGTGATTAGGTTTATATTGACTACTTTAGGCCATAATTTTAACAGTGAAATCGGAAATCGTACTTTTAATCGAATTTCAAGAAGTATGTTGATAGTCAATTATGCAAAGAAACCAACATACTATTCTAGAATACTAATACAAAAAAGATTTCTCTCAGAAAATTAGAGTACCTAGTATACCTACCTAATGAAATTATCTTTAAAACCTAGATCATATTATACCGCCTGTTTTAATAGCTATGGTATGAAGTGATTAATAAAACAATAGTCAGAAGACAATAGTAAAGTGATCTAATTCGGTGGATTGACAACCTTCACATTGGTTACGTAAATTACGTCATAGATCTGTGCGCGCGCCGTGGGTTACAAACATGACGCCCCGAGCGGCAGCAAATTGATTCAATACTCTCTCGTAACGTCTCCGGTATATATTGAGCTAATGACTATGTTAATTCATCAGTTCCACCACGGAAGTCTTAGGAGAAAGAACAAAATGTTTGCTAAAGTGAGTGTGTGATATCATAATAATAAGAGTACACAATACAACACTTATTTGTTTTAGAAATACAAATTAACGGTTTTTATTGTTTTAGGTGATAGTGCTTACCTTTGTTGCTGCGGTTTTGTGTGAGGAACATGGATACTCGCTACGGAATCATCATGGACCTCCTAAGAGTTACAGGCAATATTATGAACATGCTCCCATAAAGGTTCAAGAGGAAGAAGGTTCCCAAGAGGTTCAGTATGCTGCTGCTGCTCCTGAATCCCACGGACAAGGAGGACACGCCTATTCTTCTCAGAGCATTATCCGTCTTGCCAGTCAAGGAGAGTCCCAAGAGTCCCACAATGACCATGTAGCTCCCGTATACCAATATGTGCAGGAAGAGGAACAAGTGCGTCAAGAATCTCCTGTACGCGACGAGACTCCAGCTCAACATTATCAGTCCGTTCAGTTTGCTCCCGCTCAAGAGCACCATGAAATTCCCGTAAAAGCTCAAGAACATTACGCTCACGGTCATGAAGGTTTGAGCTACTACCAAGGAGCTAATGCTCACGACAGTTTGAACTTCCACCATGGCGGTCAACTCCACACTGCTGTGCATCACCCTGCCCCAGTACACCACGCTGCTCCAGTGCATCACGCTGCTCCAGTGCACCACGTTTCTGCAGTGCACCATGCAGCTCCAGTGAACCATGCTGCTCCAGTACATCATGTTGCCCCCGTTCATCATTCAGCTCCCGTTCACCATGCCGCTCCCGTTCAACACGCTATTCCGGTTCACCACGAAGTACCCGTCCATCACGCAGTACCTGTCCATCACGATGCTCACGCTCACGATTTCCACGACGAGCCCATCGACTATTATGTAAGTACACAACATTATTGAATATAAAACACTTATTTCCGATTCAAAGTTTTATGGTGACTTTCCATTCATTTATTCCAAACACAAATTACACCGTTTAGACCACGGTAGTTCAGTAGACGCATTTAAATGGACCTGTTTAATACAGATAACTTCTTATCATTCTAGGCGTACCCTAAATACCAGTACGAGTACAAAGTAGAGGACCCTCACACCGGAGACAACAAATTCCAGCATGAATTCCGTGATGGTGATGTTGTGAAGGGAGTGTACAGTCTTCAGGAAGCTGATGGATCCATCAGAACTGTTGAGTACAGCTCTGACAAACACACTGGGTAAGCTTAAAAGTTTCTTAGTTATCTAATTACACCCGTCACCATACACAATAAGGCCCTTAGTTTGTAAAAAGGGTCAATCACTACTTCCTAATTTCAAAATTAATTTCATAAAGAATAAAAATATGGGAACATGATGAAACGATATGCAAGTCTAACAATGCTCTTTCATTGAATTCCCTCTAAATAAGATAGTATAACTTTGAAAGGTTTAACACTGTTCAATTCAAAACCAATAACTTGTAATAGATATCTAGTTAGAACGATCTCGAGTCTAGACGTAGTTCATTTTTGACTACTTTATGCGCCGAGTCACGCACTGCCTTCGTATTGTTTAGCTTTCTACTTCGTATCATCACCTGAGGCCGTGTTATTACGCGTGTTAATGGAATTTTAGAGGCATCACCTGTTATTATGTAAGAAAAAAGGAAATTCAGTAAGGAAAGACAATACCATTTCACTTCCGCAAAAAAACTCGGTAATTTTTAATTGAATCTGACATGACAAAGCCAGCACTTAATATTTCTTAATCCACTAATTCTTTTATTTATTTTTTACATTTGATTTACATATTTAATTTTATTATTTACAGAGAGCATCAAAAAATTTTAATAAATAATCCAAGTACATTTTGTGATTTTGCTAAAAAATTACTTTTGGAATAAGTTTGAATTTAAGGACAGACCATTCATTACATTAACTATATCAAGTACTAAAAAAGAACATCATTTAACGTAAACTTACATCTTTTCGATCTGCACTTATTTTCATCATCTTCATTATTAAAAAGAAAGTCGTCTCCTTCGCTATAGAGGACTATTGTATTAAAACCTATTCCTTTTTCTATTACAGATTCAACGCTATCGTGAAGCACTCCGCCCCTGGTCACCAGGTCCAGATTGAAAGCCATCATCAGAACTAAGACAAGACTGATCACTTGTTCTGCTGTTTTTTAGTCTTTATTGTTACTAGATGTGTACTTGCCTATATTATTATTATTATTATTCTACATATAATAAAGCTTATTTAATATTTTGAAGTATATCTCCTGTTTGATTTTTATGGGGATGAAAATACTCATACTAACTCTTTGCTTCTTCCAATCTATGTTCGAATTATGAAATGGGTGTAAAAACTGCCATAATGTCATCGTTTATCGGAAATTCAGTTAATTTTTTTCTTAATATTGCGTAAATACTTATTGTGTTATTGTTGTTTTCGAGTTCATTTATTTCTATGTTAGAACATTTTCAACAAAAAGGTGATGTACGCAACATTCCTCTATTGCATTACTTATGTTTTATTAGAATTCAATCACAAGAAATTGCGTCAATGAAATTGAATCAAGTGCGTGCTTATGACAATACCAGAGCAATACAGTTTTATGTAACGATTGCTGATTTTTCAATAATGTTGTCATTAAAATATCATGTAACTTAAATAAAATTAGTAATTTAATGTTTGTAAATTTAAAAGGGATTCATTAATGTAATACAGTTTAGGCCATACACAAAACTTAGCTAATTAAAAAAATGTAAGGGTAAAATGTTTGGCAATACCTGTCGCTGACTAGCTAGTATTGTATTAGTAACTTATTAAATAATTTAATGATCTGCACATAGCGATTAATCTATGTTTCATAGTGTTTTAAAAGTCAATCGACGTTTATCAAATTCTAATATATTTCAGCCAAGTTACTTTCATATTTTTATCAATTCTGAATATTACAACTATCTATTAATTCAGCATATTGAACAACACAATGTTTTCTATAATTTAATTTACGAAAATTTAAAAAGTATTCACAACAAACTATTTGTCTGTAAAAGATACACACGATTAGTGCACATAAAGTGATAGCGCCGTGATAGGAGGTGTCACGTAGTCTGCCGTGGAACCTTTCGGACGAAACTTTTTCTTGAGGAAGGTCATCTAATTATTAGGCGCAACACGCGCTACAAACTACGTTACTTTTATAGTATGTGTCTAACTTCTTCTGTTTTATGACGTGAATTAATTTAATTATTATTTACTACGATACTTTCATTGTTTAGTTTGCCAAGTAAATCGAATTAATTTACCTTATTTAAAAAGATAGTATAAGTAGTAAATAGTAAGTATATTTTTAAGTAGTATTTAAATTATACCTCTATGAAGCAAAAGACAAAAGTATTGGTATAGATGGCGCTGTGTGTATTGGTATATGTCACATAGGCTACTTTTTAGCCTTTTGTGACGCGAGCGAAGCCGCGGGTAAAAGCTAGTAGGATATAAAGCTCGAAATAAGTAGGTACATGCGGTGATAACGAATTGAGATTAATTATTCTTGACACCGACGACCTAGTTGTCGATCACGACCACTCTATATTATTATATCAATCATTAAAGTTAAATGATATTATATAATTGTACTCACATAATTATATTTGTTTACGATCGTGTGAAAGGAAGGCGGACAGATAGGACTTACATTGGTTTAATTTCCTTTTGGTAATGCTTTACGTATCAGGATACTATCATTTAGTTTTGAAACATTATTTTATGAATAACCTAGTCCACTGCAACTTCTAATCTGTTAAGGTTTGGTATTCAAGTTATGATTTGTCGGGTCACCATTTTTATTGTACTAGTAGGTACAGTTTCAGTTATAGCTACGTAATTATTAGCAGATGTTAAGTGTAATAAAAGACAGTCAATATTTAGATCCACTAGACTAGATAATATATTTAACAGTTAGAAACAATATAAAGAAGATAACATATTATCAGGTACTGGTGAGGTTGTGTTCTTAGTGATGGTACTGGTGTTCATGACCGTGCTTGGTTTCAGTCTTCACAACCGCGTTGAAACTGGAATGAAAAGAAAGTTTTACGATAAGGGCATAATATTAAATAACTGATTCAATAATCGAGAACGCAGATAACATGAATGATATTTAAATAGTTATGAGGTGGCCAAATTCTGTTAAGGCAGTATATAATCGGCATCTAATCCTTCATTGTAAATTGTAAGCTGAACATGAAGGCTTGAGTTCAGTTGAACCAGTCAGTTCAGCAAAGTTAGTAGACAGACACAATAAGAAATTCATTAAGTAGATATATAGATGGATTATGTAACTAATTCTATCAATGAATTGCTTTTAAAGCTTAGATTAGCGAATAAAAATGTTTTTCATACCCGTTGTGCTTGTCAGCGGAATACTCAACGGTACGGATGGAGCCGTCGGAGTCGTGCAGGCTGTACACGCCCTTCACGTTCTCACCGTCACGAGACTCGTGCTGGTACTTGTTGTCACCGGTGTGAGGGTCCTCGATTTTGTATTCATACTCGTATTTGGGGTGAGCCTGGAAGTAGATTATTTCAACTATATTAATTATACTATACAGTCAAATAATAATTTCTACTCGTCATTATTTCTTTTTGGTTAATTTGTTCACTGTGGAGTTGAGAGTAAATTGTTGAGTCATTGTACTGAACATTTTTTTACACCAATGAATAGATAATATTACTGGTTATAATACAATTTAACGGTTGATGAAATGTAATCATCATAATCAACTGTAATAACCTTAATCCAAATACTGATTGAATAAAAACGATTCTCAGAGTTTTAGTAGATAAGGTAAGGTGAGACTACATTATTTGAACTCAAATTGTCAGAAAAATAAACTTACGTAGTAGTCAACGTGGTGTTCACCATGGTGGTGTTCCTTCTCGTGATGAGCAGACTCAACGTGGTGTACAGCGGGAGCTTCATGGTGTACAGCGATGGGAGCTTCGTGGTGGACAGCGATGGGAGCAGCATGGTGGACAGCCACGGGAGCCTCATGATGGACAGCAATGGGAGCTTGATGGTGCACGGCAATGGGGACGTAATGGATTGGCTGCTGGTGCACAATATGTTCCCCACCATGGTAGCCTTGGCTTATTTCATGATGTCCTTGGGAAGCACCGTGGTAGCCCTGGCTAATTTCCTGGTGTCCATGAGAATCGCCATGGTAACCCTGGCTTATTTCTTGGTGTCCATGAGAATCTTCGTGTCCGTGGGAGATGTCGTGGCGGATGATGGACTGGGAGGAGTAGGCGTGGCCCTGTTCATGACCATGCTGGTGATGGTCCTGGGCACATACCGCTGCGACGGCGATGACGAAGATGATCTGAAATAGAAAGATAGTATTTGCTATAAGTTTTTTAATTAACAGTGCTACGAATTTTTTAGAGACGCTTTGAATTTTATGATTAGAAATGTGAATTGAGTAATATTACATGAAAGATTTTTTTTTCACTTTTCGTACCAAAATTTTGTAAATTCAAAAAGGTACTTACTTTAGAGAACATATTGTGCGTATATGTTGTGATACACTTAAAAATTAAATGATATAATTGGAGAACCCAAGAGCCTTTTTATACTCAAAAACAAGTGCGTAAAATCTTTTCTTTGAATCGGTTGATTGTTACGTGTTCACTGAAAACTGGTTCCGTTTTTATCACTTGTTCTGTAACCATTGAACTTTATTTAACGAAATGAAGTTAATGAGAAGTCGACCGAAATTCACAAGAAATTTAAGAACTTAAGGAACTTTCGATATTAACAAAATTACCAAAATATAAAAGTGTCTTTTCTCTAAAATTTATACTAATGGATGGGTATCAATTGTTTTCAAGTGCCAAAAGTTCCAAGGGCCCTTACATAAAATAACAAGGCAGAAATATATGACAAATATTATATTTAATTTACATTATTATCAGTCACAAAAACCAGAGTTTCTGCACAGCACCCCGCAAGCAATCGTCTAACGTTTCACAAAATGTACGAAGTTTGAAAAATAAAATAATAATAAAAAAAACACGAAAACTTACACACTATAAGAAAATATAATACAAAAGGTTCTAATGCTTTGTAAAATAGATGAATGAAAATGTAAAGTTCTATGCTAATTTGGGCCTAAGTCCCTGTGCAGATTGTGAAACGGTTAGGGAGTAAGCACACTAGTCTGTAATCGTTCATTATACAATGCTCTTCGTTGTCGCATTCCGTCCATGCTTAATCTGCTTAATAAGCTAAGTAGAAATAAATAGGTGTCGTCGGTGTTGGTCTAGGCTAAAGGGTCGTTGAAGTTTAGCCGTGGAGAAGGTGGCCATGGCCAAGGGCTGGGGCAGCGACCACTGCGTGGGCAGCGGGGTGCGCAGCATGGCCGTGCCTGCTGACTACAGCATTGAATCTGAAATCATAAACATTATTTTTATTGCAAATCATTACAATAATAATACGCCATCAACCTTTCCAAGGGACTGATTTCACCATGCAAATATTAGTATCTATCAAAAAAGGATGTTCTAGCTATCTATGGTAAAGGAGGCTTTCGCGGGTTACTGGTTCTGAATATACTGAGCAAAGCTCTACTTGTTTCTAGCTACAGGGGGGCTCTTTCTCATAAGCACTGTGCTCGGCCGCGGCGGTTGTTACTAAAATACATGACGTTATGTTAGTACATTTTTTGGCTTACCCATTGTGGTCATCAGCAGAGTAGTTGACAGTGCGCACGGTGCCGTCAGGTTCAACAAGAGAGTACTGGCCCTTCACGACGTCCCCATCACGGGCTTCCCATTGGCTCTTCTGATCGCCGGTGTGACCGTCAGTGACACCGTAATTGAATTGGTAGCGGGGGTGGGCCTGGAATTTTTAAGGGATACGTATTCATCACACTGTTACAAATATATGGGTTCTTTCTTCTTTTTCATTATATTACAACAATTTCACTACATGTAACTTACATAAACTTCAACAGGGGCAGCGGCGTGCGCATATGGTGCCCTGTAAACCGGCGCATGTGCAACCACGGCTCCGTGACCTGCAAGCGACCTGATGTCAGTAAATCTATCATAGTAATTCTATTGCCTTTTTATTCATCACGTAATTTTGAATTTTCATAGGGTAGTCAGCAAACATTAGGAAAGTAAGGTAACTAACTGAATCGATGATTCCTGGATTTTGATTTTCGCATTTCTTAGATATAGATGACTTTGCAGTATAATAATGACTTTTAAGTGTATGGCAACAAATATTTGATTCGCATAGCTGGTTAATAATTGATTACACATTTAATATGTGCAACTGCGCTCCTCTACCGTTTTCATCGAGAAAAAGGTATGAAGCAATGAAGATTAACTTATTGTTAATTAATAAAACTCTATTTGCTACACTTATTACCTAAGTTAACTTTCTATACTATACCTAATCCATATCCTAATGCAGGTGCCGCAATAGCGGGTGCGGCAGCGTAACCTCCGTAGCCATGCGCAAGGGCAGGGGCGCCCAGCACGATGCTCTGTGACGACAATGCGCCATGACCCCCAGCGATCAAACCAGCGCGCGCGACGCCTACTAGCGCGCATGCGAACAACACCTGCGATAAAAGCGTCAGTGGTATTTTTTTACATTTTTCAGGTATTTTCAATTTGTGTTTGTTCTGTATTGTTAAATTAGTATACCTAAATAAAATATAAGAAAGAAACCAACTAAGTCTTTGTTTAGCTATTTTAATTACACTCACAAAGATAAGAATTGATAGAGATAGGTAAAAGACTTTAATAGATAAACAATTGCAAAATGGATATTTGTTTTCTTTTGTTAACCATGAAAATTTACGGTAAAGTAAGTACAAAGTTGTACAGTAAAGTAAGAAATAAAAAAATGTTTTTTTCAAAAATTTGCTAATTCCACTGTTTTTTTTTAGTTGCAGTAAAAATACCAAAATGTAGGTAATATTAACTTCAGAACTAAATACCACCATAGCACAAAACCACCATAAAATGAAAACTTATCACCAGACACTCATGAACTTAAATCACTTTACCTTAGCGAACATTATGTAAGATTTGTCTAAGTTCAAATGGTTCGTTACTGTAAGCACTAGGGCTTGTTGTGTGCCGAATTCTAAGATACCGGGCGTTTATATAGAGGCTGTATGTCCTATAGATACAGGCTAGGGTCCTACTCGGGCGTGTCGTAGGAAACTGTATGTAGCTACACATGTGTGTCGGTGGGCGCTGCCGCAAACTAGATCGCTGGAATATACTGGATATGATTTTCTTCTGTTTTTGATTAAGAGCTAAGTCTATAGTCAAATGCTGATCATTTTGATCAAAAAAGATTGAAACATTCACAAATTGGTCGAAAAAGATTAAAACATTGTTTCATTGTGATAAAACGATTTTAAGAAGGCATTACAACACAAAGATCAAAATTTTAAAAGACGTGAATTTATGTTATTTTAGTTATTAGTAGCAGTATACCAAAAAGAGGTATATTGATAAGAATATGACATAGCCACAAATCCATATGAAGAGTCAACACAGGTCACTACACACATAAGTCAACGATTGTCTATCTGTACTATGTTACTATAGGTACTAGAAACACAGCTAAATAAAACAGCACCGTAATAAAACGTCGTATCCATACCATTCTTACCTCCACAGTTCAAAAGCCGTCCACGCTAAGAATTGGTATCAGAATAGTAAATAAATACATTTATAGTTCGCCATACCTGCGTTGTACATTCTGTGCAAAATAAATTAACCTGAAACACGCTACGGACCTTATTGAATTATTGTCTTTTGGACAATTAGTTCCATGCTTTCCGATCTAGTAGAAATCTAATTATTCTTGAATACGTCATAATTTCTGTAGTTTTTTTTTATACCCTTACCATGGAGCATTAATGTAATAAATAATAAATAAACTTGTTGGTGTAATCGTGTTGATGGATGAACAGTATCAAAATTACAACTTCCAAGAGCCTGATAAACTATGGACTAGATTAAAATAAAGTGGAACTAAATGATGCCAAATCAGAATTCATACGGATAGCTAATCACTTAACCTTAACAAAAGTCCTTATAACACCCTAACTCTAACATAGAATAACCAAACATCTTATCTTTCAATGAGTTTCCTCATCAGGCTTCCCTACATTCGTATAAAGCAAAGTCGCAATCTGCCGTCTGTCTGTCCCTATGTATGCTTAGATCTTTAAAACTACGCAACAGATTTTGATGCGGTTTTTTTAAACAGATAGAGTGATTTTTAAGAAATGTTTATATGTATAATACATGCATATTGCACCCGTGCGAAGCTGGGGCGGGTCGCTAGTTTTGTATAAAATGCCCTATAATAAATTAAACGCCTTCATCTAGCAAAAATAAAGATTTAACTCTTCGGTAGCATACTTTGTCAACCAACTCAGAAACACAATCTAAAACATTAATACAAAAAACTCGAAGCCAATAAATATTAATACCTCTAACATGTTACACGTTATCTTTGATATCACAACGAATTCGTATCGATTAAAAAAACTTGTGCCACAATTGGGTTACATAGGGCAATACCTAATACCGCTACGCCATAATAGATGCAAGAACCTATTGTGGCCATAAATATAGCCATGTGAAAATCGCCCTGATTGACAGTTTTGATTGGCCTGTGTTAGTCATGAATTGTTTCGCAAGAATTGAGCCAAATTTGGTGAGGATTGTTATCGAATAATAAATTTATCGATTTGGTGCAATGCTGAACAATTCTAGGCCGGAGACTTTTGACGTTTTGTACTTAACTAATCAATCTATAATATCGGTCTAGTAGAAGGTCTGAACCTGAGGTCACGCAGCTGACTAGGTAGTGACCAAATGAACGACATAATAATATATCCTTAAAGTCACATAGGTTATCGGCGCCTGCGCAAATCCCATTGTACTGCTATCTCTAAACGACGCAAGTACGAGACTTTTCCATAGAGGGTGCATACAGTATGCACCTTACATGTAAGACAACTTAAAAGCCTTGATACATTGTAAGATATATGGTAATGACAATGCGTGTGCGCTTGACATAAAAGCATTCTAGACGCCCCCGCTTATCTTGTTATGGGGGTACTTTATACGTTTTGTTTGGTTATGCGAACGTAAATAGTATAAGTATCAGGTGTATCGGAGGAACTTACAAATATTTTTTTACACTCATTGTCGTTAAAAGGTATTTACATGTTACTTTAGCATTAAGAATATGTTTAATAGTAACTTCATCCCTTAATAGGACCCGGGTACATTCTTAAACAGCGAACAGACACCGAGGATTGGGCTGCAGCATTCCAAAAATACATCGGTGACCTAACTGTGACCCCCAAGCCGCCTGCCAAGCATGGGGATTATGGCAAACCCCCCTAGTGGGAAGGCTTTTGTCCAGCAGTGGACGTCTTCCGGCTGTTAATGATGATGATGAGTATCTTCAGTAATTCAATTTTTCTAACAAATGAACAGGCGTGAAATGATGAACAATCTATTGAAGCCTGAAGACGAAAAGTATGAATTTAAAGATCATTCTGCATAATTGTGAATGGTATAAGCATACTACCTAAATGAGAACTATCCTATTGATTTAGGCTAAATATAATATCAATGAATCACTACAAAGGCATTTGCATAGTCTTAAATAGCTCTCAAACTCGTTAGCACTGAATTAAATTTAGGTCTACTAGCAAACCACACTGCAGTTGGTAAAGGTATGGTTTCATTGCGATACTACGTTTAGCCAAAATCAGATAACTTTACAATACAATTTTTGATTTCAAATAATGCGAATAACTTACGGCAAATTGATAAAATTTATACATTCGTGTAATTAATTTCTTGGTACCTAAATATATGAAACGGACGAGATATTGAATTACGCTTAAATTAGTACTTCTGACATCCAAGATCTCAATTTTTTTTAAACGTTGCTCCACATTAGGAGATCTCCTGTGTTGTGGGTGCGTTTACAAACATACAAGTTCACATATACGTGACACCCAGAACCGATTATTTTAGTACTAAGTTATTTCCATTCAATACAATTAACATTCATAGTAAAACCACACTCTAAATCAAGGTGTGAGCGTCTACCGCATAGTCTCGGATGTCAAGTAGCAGTGACTCATCTATCCGAGATCATTGACCTCGCGGTTATCTCAAGCCTGATTGGGCAACTCTATCCAAGCTCAGTTGATACCACATGCACCAGTTTACATGCGATGTTGCAATTTAAACGAGTTTTTACCTTATTTGCATACGTGATGAAGATTTAGACTTGTGAAATTATTTTGCATACTTGGAAGTAAGATATCAAATTCTTGATGGGGATAAGATTGCGTTTCGACAGTTAGTGTGTGATATGAGGGAAACTATGTGGCATGAAGATAAGATGGCAGGTCAATAGGTAGGTAATATGAACCAGTTGTAGGTATGCTGTTTTCAGGCAAATCTTATGAAAGTTACCATCAGGTGATACGTATGCTCGTTTACCTCCTATTCCAAAAAAAATTTAAAGCTCAATAATCATCAGTCATAATATGTGTTTGTGTACCAATGAGTATTCATAGAAAATAAATAAAAATTATTGCCTATAAACGAAGAACTGTTGCTAACGGCTCAACATTTGCGAACTAACAAGGCCATTCTAGTTTTGATTCTCGCTGATCTAGCTAGATGGCGTTGTTTTATAGGTCTGTATTCAAATAGAAAAGTTGTTCTTTTTTAAATGTTCAAGAGTTATGCGTAGAATAATATATGTCTTCTATTGGTACTTTTTATTCTTCTTACCTTTATAATTATTTTCGCATTTTAATTAAATAATATGTGTTTTACAGGGAAATTGTAAAATTATAAATAAATATTATAATATTATTGTCCCGAATTAGTGCATTATCTTTAGATTTTTATTTAATTCCCTCCCAGCTCTATCAACCATCAATCAGCTTTTGTTTTCTTTTCACAATTTCCATTATTTCTTTAGTCTTATTCTACGTAAACTTTCATGGCTAGAATTTCAAATGATTTCCTAAATTAAGCGAGCATGTAATCCAACAAAATATTACTTCCTTACAATAAAAAATAACTTACTACCAGTGACGACAAGAGTAAAATAATTTCCATATAATTCTTTCATATTGCTTCAAATACGACGCTAATAAATTAAAAAGGTGTCTTATTCACTTTTCATAATAATAAATCTTGCATTTCATTAATTTACATACTTACGTGCTCTGTAGCTATTTATATTCTGAAGACATTGCTGAATAATTTACTGTGATAGAACAATTTGTCTCATACGATATGGTTATGTTTTTCGCATTTTTCATAAAGATGTACGAATGACAAATACCTACAGCCTGCCTTCAATTATTTTGTTTAATTATTCCTCTCGGTACTGAGCACTGTGCATGAAATTGAATGGATCCAATGTAGGTTGCAAATGATATGACATTCTCATCCCTATAGTACATGGCAAGCAGAAGATATATTGTATTTATTAAAACTATCGTGAGATATTATATTGAATTGACTAAAAATGACAGTTTACACAAGTAAGATGAAGTATTAGGAATCCGTAATTTTTAGTTAATTCAGAATCTAAATTTCAGAATTACCACGTACATTCAGTGACGTCACAAGTTTACTCATCCATCTATAGAACCAGAGCCATGCAGCAATTATACCTACACACATGTAAGTGATATATCTTTATGATTGGGTAATTTGTCTCACATACAAATGTAAAATATGGTAGCAGCCATCAAGTAATAAACGAGGTACGCTCAGAGTTATGGCGTAGGTATTACATTAATTTCCTTAATAACCTTGTAATTGATGTATTCGCCTTAAATTTTGCAATTGATCTACATTGAGTGTCATCAATTAACATTGATCAATTTCAAAGTAGATTAGAGGTATAAATGTTTCTTAAGATTGCCTTGTTCTATTTAGCGCTTTTTTGATTGATCAATCGTGTATGTCCGAAAATGTAAGTGTCGTCTTGGTAAATGACACAATGTTCAATGACACTTAATTCGATTCAACAATTGGTACTGAAGACTGT